GCAACCTGTGCATTGTGATTACAGAGAACGTTAATGTCAACATTACACATATATGAATTGATCTAATCTATTAGGTACATATGTGAAGCTTAACATTAGCATAAAAATAAATTCAGTTTGAATATGTATGAACACTTACTCATCACCGCCGTTCTTGTGTAAATTTTGGACCTTCTGCCTGTTGAGTTTGCTCATGTTGGCCCAAACCTTCAGTTTGTTGTTCAAGGTTAACTTCTTGTACTTTGTTGGGTGCTTTTTTAATGGATGCTTGTTTAAATCTTGTTATGCAATTTGGACTGCATGGGATTGCTCTTCAGCTCCCTTTTTCCCTTTCTTTTGACCAGGCAAGTTGGGGTATTCAAACTCATCCAACCGGTGCACTTTCCTTACCTTCTGCTTGATGCACTTCACCCTCGATGGTGGGCTGATAATGTGTTCCAATGCTGCAATGGGATGCTTCTTAAGGCTGTCATGAGCCTTTTGTGCTTCGACTTGAGTGATAATGTGGACCGACTGATCATCATAAAGGTCTTCAAGAATTGTTTTCTCACATTCCAGGTTGATGACCAATTTTGTCAACCGCTGAATTTCTGTATCTTTCCACTCCATACAATTCTTGATGTCCATGTCCATATTGGATGGGCCTGATTGGTTAAATAATTTGGCTTCAAGGGCAGCAATCACCCTTGCCCTCAACTCCTACGATTCTTCCAACTGTTTGTATTTTGCTTCCCATTGTTGTACAAGACCCAAAGCTTTTTGGTTTTCTTTTATAAGTACATCCACAATGTCCGGCTCACTTGGTTGTGCTATGATGATACCTCTCTCAGCATTGGGGGTGTTAAAGCTGGTGTTGATGACATGTTCAAGTTCAGTTAGGTCCAGTGCATCGCCAGAAATTTCATCGCTGTTGTCACTGCCTTGACTGTCTTTGCTTTTATCATCATTGCTTTCATCTTGCTTTGGTGGTGCACTCGACAAAACCTCAGGTTTGGGCTCCACATTCAATTTCGTATGATGGTACATCTTTACTTCAGTTAGGGATGCCATCAGCTCGCCGCCATATACCTAGAGTTGGAGACATTATGTTAGTTACATAGTTCTTTGTCTCACTATGTGAATAGGCACAACATTTTTGGTTGTACTTCTACCTCATTTAAACCAAGCTTCGCCAAAGATATGGACTTCATGTTGGTATGTGAGGCTGTGGGTCCCACTTCACACATCGCGGAATGGCATTAGGGTTGCGGGGTTGTAAGATTGTTGTATGCTCACACAACCAGTACTGAAACAAATAACAAATATCAGTAATATGGATGTTCATATCCAATAACACTGATGTGAATGTTTACACCAGTGGCTAGTAATGTGTGTTTATCCATTACTGAACAGTAATGTGAATGTTCCCATCATTGATGTCAACTTCAACACCATTGCCTAGTAATGTGTGTTCCACATTTGTTTTGGTGCTAACATGAGGAAAACACTGGTGTCAATGTTTACATCAATACACATTGATGTGAACAATAACATAGTATGACTGATTGAGAAATTAACAGTAATGTGAACATTCACATCAATAAACACTGATGTGAATGTTTACACCAGTGGCTAGTAATGTGTGTTTATCCATTACTGAACAGTAATGTGAATGTTCACATCACTGATGTCAACTTCTGCATCATTGCCAAGTAATGTGAATGTTCACATTAATTAACACTGATGTGAATGTTTACACTAGTGGCTAGTAATGTGTGTTTATCCATTACTGAACAGTAATGTGAATGTTCACATCATTGACGTAAACTTCCACACCATTGCCTAGTAATGTGTGTTGCACATTTGTTTTGGCGCTAACATGAGGAAAACACTGGTGTCAATGTTTACATCAATACACATTGATATGAACCATAACGTAGTATGACTGATTGAAAAATTAACAGTAATGTGAACATTCACATCAATAAACATTGATGTGAATCTTTACACCAGTGTCTACTAATGTGTGTTTGTCCATTACTGAACAGTAATGTGAATGTTCACATCACTGATGTCAACTTCCACACCATTGCCCAGTAATGTGAACATTCACATCAGTGTGTACTTATGCCAACCTTGCCACCAGTGTGTACTGATGTGTATGTCACATTTTGTTTTGCTGACAATATGAGTGGGCAGACCCTGTAAATGTTCATATTAAATATAGAATAAGTTTTATGAGATTTACCATTAACAACATAACACATCCGGTGACTCGTCCTGGTTTTTCCCAGTTTTGGCCCACTGAACCCATCAGGGTTGCCTGGATACTCTCAGCCCAGCCATACTCGATCATGTTGTCTAATGGGTCTATGTATGAGTAGAAAGCCCATCCAATTGTTTCTCCGGACGTAGAAAAGAACAGTTTGACGCATGTATACATGCAAACTAATCTTGCAACCTCTTCATTGTCTTGTTTCTTTGTGCCCTTTAATGCTTCGTTCAGAATTTCTCGTATTTTGGCATTACTTAACCGACTAACATTCTTGCACATTCGGTGTATGATGCCGGCTGTTGGTTTTGCACCATAAGAGAGGTCCATCGGCTTGGTGCCGCAGTCCACCCCAAAAATAAGTGATACATCACTTCTAAAAATCTGAATGCTCTTGTCCCCGATGTAAAACCTCCTATTAGATGGCTTGAATGTCTGCACTATACGTACAATGACATCATCATATTTCATGCAATGGCTGAGGTCGACTTTATTACTGATCAAACAATCAAATAAGGGCCAAAATGGTGTTTTTCTAAGGCATTTCAATTGACCATTTATAAATTTTGTATCCTTCAACAGTTTCACAAATCCAGTGATATTTGACCGGTAGTTGACATTTTTCATGTTCACTTGTTCAGGACTAGCTGTTTGATCGGGTTTGCCTTTGGCACGCGATTCCCCTCTCTTTCGTTTGCCATCAAATCTACGAGGAAGACCTGTTTGTTCAAATAATAACATATAATTGGCTGAAAAACAAAGGGTAGAACCAACAACACCCAACAACACCAACAAGTCTGACATTGATGTCACAATGTGAATATTTACATCATATTCCATCACATTGTTGAGTGAAGATTGAGAGTTCTATGGACATCAACAATCAACAATATCAACAATGACAGTAATGTGAACATTTACATTATTATACACTGATGTGAATGTTCACATCAGTGTCTACAAATGTCAGTTTATCCAGTAATGAACAGTAATGTGAATATTCACATCATCTATGTTTACAAAATCAATTCCAAAAACAACAATAGTTATAGGGTAATGTAGATGTATACATTGGTGATCACATTATGTTATAATTGGCTGAAAAACAGAGGTGGAACCAACAATGCCCAACAACACCAACAATTCTGACATTGATGTCACAATGTGAATATTTACATCATATTCCATCACATTGTTGAGTGAAGAGTGGGGGTTCTATGGATATCAACAATCAACAACATCAACAATGACAGTAATGTGAATATTCGCATTATTATACACTGATGTGAATGTTCACATTAGTGTTTACTAATGTCAGTTTATCCAGAAATTGACAGTAATGTGAATGTCCACAGCATCCATGTTTACAAAATCAATTTAAAAAACCACAATAGTTATAGGGCAATGTAAATGTATACATTGGTGATCACATTATGTTATAATTGGTTGAAAAACAGAGGGTGGACCCAACAACACCAACAAGTCTGACATTGATATCACAATGTGAATATTTACATTATATTCCATCACAGTGTTGAGTGAAGACTGAGAGTTCTATGGACATCAACAATCAACAATATCGACAATGACAGTAATGTGAACATTCACATTACTATACACTGATGTGAATGTTCACACCAGTGTCTACTACTGTGAGTTTATTCTTTAATGAATAGTAATGTGAATATTTACATCGTCGATGTTTACAAAATCAAATTAAAAAACAACAACAGTAATACAACAATGTAAATATATACATCGGTGATCACATTATGATTGAAAATCAGAAGGTGGAATGATATTGCTTACTTTTGTTCCTCATGGTGCGTGGGTACGGAAATCTATGGACCACACTCAGTCAATGAAATACACTCAGTCCATCGACGGGAATTTTGGAACAACGAAGCATCGTCCTTCCGATGTAAACCTTCGCAGCGGTGAGATGAAGAGGAATAACAGTGGCCAACGACAGTGGACGGTGGACGACGACGACGATGGTGAGGCGATGTGAATCTAGGGTTACGGTGAGGCGATGTGAATCTAGGGTCGACGACGAGATTTTGTTTGAGAAATTTTGTGGATTGAATAGATGGAATCGGAATGGGTTTCTTTTCAGAATCGATTAGACGCGGGAGAAGCGGATGAGGGTTATATCGTCCTTTTACAATTAATGGACTTAATGGAATATTCAAAAATAGTTTGAGTTTTATGGAATAAAACAGTTACAAATAGGATTTATCAAAAAAGAGCCCTTTATAAAACTGATTTATTTATTACTAAAAGATATAAAAAAAATTAAAAAAATAATGTAATTCAAATAACTAATAAGGGCTGTTTGAGAAGTGCTAAATTAGTATATTTTTTGACTTTTTATGAATGAAAAATGTTTGAGGGTAGCAATTTTTGTGGCCACAATGGCTCAAAACTGTCAAAATGACGTCGTTTTGGGTGCAAAACATGCCAAAATGACGTCGTTTTGGCAGTTTTTAGCCATTGTGGCCCAAAAAATTGTAACCCTCTAACATTGTTGTTTATGAATAAATGTAAAATATGAATTAGATTTAAAATAATATGATAAAAAGATAATATGACTCAAATAAAAAATGATATAATCTAAATAAAATAATTATAACTTAAATAAGATGACGTTTTAGCCCATGTCACACAACTATTACATTAATAAACTGAGTTTTTTGGCAGGAGAGTTTTACTGATCGACTGAATAAATGATTTCCTTATGGTCACGTGATCAGCACATGAGTGAAACCAGTCCTCTATAAAAGCCCAAATCACTCAGTTTCTTTGAAACCCTAACGTGGTTTTCAGTCCCTGTATTACCAAAAAGGTCTACTATTTATTTCATCGGATCTTCATATATGCATGAAGACGCTAACCTTTGTTACTCTTCCAAATTTCTTTTTCATAAATTTCTTTTGAATTTTTGTTGCTTGATACTTACTGATTTGTTGTTTCTAGAATGTATGTGCAATGAAAAACCCTAACTTGTTTCTGTTTTTTGTTGTCCTCACAGACCCCTAAATTCTATCATTCATGGATCCTCAACCAGAACCTGTGAGCTATATCTGCGGAGGTACTCGTTTTTACACACCCTCTCTCTCTCTCTCTCTCTCTCTCTCTGTGGTCACATCATTAGGAATTTGCAAAGTGTACTTTATACACATATATATAGAACAAAGTATAGAGCTATGCATAGAGAAACCTGTAACAAAAAGGGTTAATTATATTGACCTTGCCGATGAAGAAATTATTGTCAGCTCCAGACTTTTGACGAATTTATATTGGTTTCCCCTGCAATAATGATAGCTTTAATGCTGTTAATGGAGGTGATGAAATTGCTATATTATCCTTGTTTTTTTTTATTATTTAAATATGTACGGATTGCAAATGACTAAGTATTTGTCTAGAAATGATGATATAATCTTTTTTATCTGTTATTTGATTAACGGATGACTCAAGTGTAGTTTATGAAAATTTTAATTTAAGGGAGCACAATATAATTATGCTAAAATTACGGTATTAGTTGTAATTTTAATTTAAGAGATCGGTGTAATTTACCCCAAAAAAGTAAAATATTTGTTCTGTCTTGACCCTACCTACCAGTTAGTTGGGTGTATGAAGTTGGATTCTGTATGTATCTGTACAAACTGTTTGTGGATTTTGGCATTTGAATATAAATGTTTAAAGGGGTATTCATTTATAGTATAGATTGCGGGCAGGAAAATACGCTCAAGCCCGGTGATGTGATTCAGTGCCGAGAGTGTGGTTATCGCATCTTGTACAAGAAGCGAACCCGTAGAAGTAAGCCTTATCTCAATGTCCTCTTTGTTATTTTTAGTATGTTATAGTTACATCACTGTTCTTCGACAAACTGATTGTGCATTGTGCCCAACTGTCTCATTATTTGCATTAGTGGCTAGTTTAGTTTCTTGCACTATTGGCTCCCTTGTTCTTTGGATTGGTGTTCTTCATGTGGTGCTATACATAATATGTTTTTGACAATGAAAAAATTACTTTTGTAAAGTTGTTGCCATGTGAATGTCAGTTTGTGTTTTGGCCTCACCATGTGCTTCATGATTCTCTTTCAATCACTGGACGCTACTGGTGAAAACAAGATCGATATGGTTTTATCACTCGTTTTTGTTATTTTGATTTGTCAATCAATCAAGCTTCATTAGGTTGCAATGACAAGGTTTTACTGCAGTCTACGTAGTTTAGCCAAAATAAATTTGGAATACAATTCATGCTTTAGTACTGTTCAGAATGTCCTTTTGTCTTTGCATATCGATCTTAAGTAAGCCTGAAACAGCTGGGTGAGATTACCATCTTCTTGTTTTGTCGTTGTCCTACAATACCTTCCCTAATTCTATGCTCATCTCTGCGATGTCTTCAAATTTTTTTGGACATTTGTCCTGGGCTTATAGTTGTATGTCCCCCACCCCCCACACAAGCGTCTTGAAAATGAAAATCCCTGGCATGTGTGATTATTGTTTTAGTGGGCTTCATAATAGTTCTTGCTTGCATGATTTTCCTTGAGTGGTGCTATTGATCATTAGTCTGCTATGTTTGTTGCAGTTGTTCAGTATGAAGCACGCTGAAGATGCGAGGAAGTTTCCCCTAAGTTGATTCGAAGAAACAAAAAACAATAGTGATTTTATATTTTGTCTATATTGTTTGGTAAGGGGAATGGATGTAACTGGTCGTACCCCGTGGATGTTGGACCAAGTCATATTATTGCAATGGTTTTGCTTATGTGATTGTGTCGTTGGTATTGTCTTGTGAACAATGAGAAAGATGATCAGTAAAGATGTTCACTTTGTTGTGTTTGCTTGTGAGCTCGATTTTTACTAAATCCCTGGGAAAGATTTCGGTTGTGTTTTGTAGAGTTTTAGAATTATGATTTGAGAATAGAGTTATATTTTAAATTTGTGAGTTTTGAAATTATGATTTGAGTTTGGAAAATTTGTTTGGTCATGAGTTTTAAAAAGAGTTTGAATTAAGTGATGTGACATGATATTGAAAAGTGGATATTTTGAAAAGTGTTTTGAAAAGTGAGTATGAAATTAATTTTTTAAAGCTGTAACCAAACAACACACTCAAATTAGGGGTAGAATTAAACTTCAAAAATTCTACCTAACAGAGCCAATTGCGAACTTAATGTGTGACTAGCTGGTTTGGCCCATGGAATTCATGGCTTGGAGTGGAAAACAATTTGGTAGTTTTGAAATACAATGTCGAGAGGGATCGCAAAACACATTAAGTTGGTCATTCTTTTCTCTCTACTGCCTATTATGTGGATAATGATATTTTGTAAGTACTAATTAATTATCCAAACGATATTCCCTAGTTTGTATGGCATTTTCAGGTCCTTTGTTGTTAGTGTGCCTCTTGATGCAATGGTAAGGTCAATTTAGGCGTTGTCATTCTTTTTTCTCTATTGCCTATTATGTGGATAATGACATTTCGTAAGTACTGAATAATTATCCAAACGATATTCTCTAGTTTGTATGGCCATTTCAGATCCTTTGTTGTTAGTGTGCCTCTTGATGCAATAGTAAGTTCAATTTAGGCGTTGTTGTAATGTTCCTCTCATTTTCCATTTGCAGTCTCGGATTGTTAAGTGTGCCTCTTGATGCAATGGTAAGGTCAGTTTAGTTAGTGTTGTAATGCCCCTCTCATTTTGATGTAACAAACCATTTGCAGTCTCGGATGGTTACTCTAATGGTGGATAGGCTTTGGCATTCTCTTTCGCCCTGATTGTTCGGGTAAAAAATATTTTTTTATTTTTTTCCCTAAAAATGTTTTCAGTATGTGTATCAAATATGACCGAGTAAGATATGCAAGTTAAAAGAGAGAACAAAGAGCATGCTTCATGCTACAAAGAGGGCTCAAATGCAAGTGCATTCATTTTATGTCAGCAAAGCATGCATTATATCCTATACTTGGAGATGTTATTACGTGTACATAACTGGTAAAAACATAAAAGAGTTTGGGCTAAAGGAAGCTGGTGAGAGATCAGCCATGGAAGGAAGCGATCTCTAATCCCTTGCTGTGGTGGCTAAGCGGTGGTGCATCATATTTGCTGAAGAGCCTGTAGGAGGAGATGAGCGAGAGCGTTGCATAGCAGAGTACAACCACAAATGTGATGGCTAAGGATGCAGTGGCCTTTTGACAAAACCCTCCGAATGAAATGCACGCTTTGCTCCAAGTGATGGCTTCGTCTCCCTTGTATGCCAAGTACACCACCTCGACTGACACAGCCCCAGCAGCTAGTATTATGTATGTTAGGACCTACACGTACAGGGTATAATACAATACATGATTCACTAAGTTCTTTTTAATTCAGTTGAACTATACACAAACAGTCACAAAACTGAGCTCAGAGCACTGATAGGATTGGACTATGTATTTGGGTTAATTTTAAATCTCACGTTTGAATACAGAAGTGGGCTTCTGAATTAAGATTCTGATACAATTAAGGGGGTCCGTACTCCAAATTAAGCGTTAAAAGATTACAATATTTTCAAAGTGTGATCATTATATCATGTAATATGATGTATGATATGATTTATTAAGGGTGAATTACATCAATGGTCCCTATAGTTTAAAACTTGTGTTGCTTTGGTCTCTAACTTTTAAATTGTAACACATTTGACCTTGAATTTTGAATCTTGTTCCAAATAAGGACAATGGAAGATATCATTGCTTAATTTCACGGGGCAAAATCATCAATTTGATAAAATATAAACTAATTTTACAAAAATAAATGTCAAAAAAATATTTTTGAATTTTAAAAATTATTTCTACCTACTAAAGATAAAACTATGTAAAATTGATAAATTTATTTATTTATTTTTTTACCAAATTAATTTGTATTATGTGTTTGGATGATGATTATGTAATGAGTGATTATTTTTATTTTCATCAAATTAGTTTTTATTTTTTCTAAAAGTTAAATATGACAACTACTTTGATATCATTATTAAACTAATTCATTAAATCAAAAAATCCAAAACTAAAAATAATTCATATATTAAATATATAAATTACACATTAAAATCCTAACAACCATCCATTACATCATCATTTAAACACATAATAAAAATTAATTTGGTAAAAATAAAAAATAAATGTCTAAAAGATTTATTAATTTTACATAATTTTTTCTTGGGCAAATTACAAACACCTCCCTCGAGGTTTGGTAAAAATACAGATTCCCCTTGAGGTTTGAGAAATTACAAATTGCCCCATGAGAGTCAAATTTTCATAACAAATTAGGAGAAATTAGGGGGGAATCTGTATGAAAATAAAAACCTCAGGGGACATTTGTTATGAAAATATAAACCTCAGGGGGCGAGATGTAATTTCTCAAACCTCAGGAGGGAATCTGTATTTTCACCAAACCTCGAGGGGGGTGTTTGTAATTTGTCCTTTTTTCTTTGATTGGTAGAAATAATTTTAAAAAATTTAAAAATAATTTTTTGACATTTATTTTTGTCAAATTAGTTTATATTTTATCAAATTGACAATTTTATCCTTGAAATTAAGCAATGATATCTTCATTTTTCTTTATTTGGAACAAGATTCAAAATTCAGTGTCAAATATATTACAATTGAAAAGTCAAGAACAGAATCCCAAACTATAAGGACTGTTAGTGTAATTCACCATTTTATTAATCTCTTCCTAATCCAGTAGAAAGAGGGATATTTCCAAACGTGCAATAAAATATATAATTTTAAAATTTTGATAATCTCTGAAGAGATAATTTCGTAAAATCAAGTCTAACGAAAACAACATGACAATACGATTATATGTATTTTAAAATTTTGATAATCTCTGAAGAGATAATCTCGTATAATTAAATCTAATGAAAATAACATGACGATGCGATTGTGGGCCCATACAGTGTGATGATTGAGACTTTACAGCATTGTGTCACATATATGTGCTGCTTTATATGTTTCTGACATTAATCCTTTTAAATTTAATTAATTAATTAATCAAAATTTTATTTTTCAGGCATGAGAGAGTGAAGATTGAGGCTAACCTGGTCGAGGAGGAAGAAAGTCCAGGCTCGAGACATGGTTGAGGGACGAGGAACGGCTGCAACAACTGCTGAAAGAAGCGAGTAGCCGGCGCAAATGCCGTTGGCATGAACCAGGTACCTGATCAAACATCAGTGTGGGAAAATCAATCAGCCCCCTCAACATGACTCTCTAATAAATTTAACTTAACAAGCAAGAGTAAAGATCATCTAAGTTGTTGTTACTTTGAAGGCCTGATCAGTAGATCAAGTGTTCAAACAAAAAAAAAAAGAAAAGAAAAGAAAAAAACAACTTTTGAAAGATGAATTTGTGTAGAATTGTGAAAATCTAAATGAAAATAAAATGATATTCTACTAAATGAATTTGTTTAGGTATATACCTTTTACCAATATTTTTGTTTGTTCTTTGTTTTTTTGTAAAAAAGTTAGTAAGTCTTACCAGACTAGAAAACACTAAAAAAAAAAAAGAACGAATTTGTGAAAATAGTCCCCCCCCAAAATAAAAATAAAAAATAAAATAAAAAAATCAATAAAAGTTAGGGGTTGTTTGGGATGAGCTAAATAAGTGTATTTTTTATTTTTTTAAAAAAAAAAAATCACTAAATACAAAAAAAAAAGGGGAAAAAAAAGGAAAAAAAACAACTTTTGAAAGATGAATTTGTGTAGAATTGTGAAAATCTAAATGAAAACAAAATGATATTGTATTAAATGAATTTGTGTAGGTATATATTTTTTAGCAATATTTTTGTTTGTTCTTTGTTTTTTTGTAAAAAAGTTTGTAAGTCTTACCAGACTAGAAAACACTAAAAAAAAAAAGAAGAACGAATTTGAAAATAGTCCCCCCCCAAAATAAAAATAAAAAATAAAATAAAAAAATCAATAAAAGTTAGGGGTTGTTTGGGATGAGCTAAATAAGTGTATTTTTTATTTTTTTACGAAAAGATGTGCAGAAAAGTAGAGAGGTGATGTGATGGAAAAAAGATAAAAAGATAAAAAGATAGATTATTTTAAGGATGCCAAACTTGGCCTTAATATTGAAGCTTTGATTAATTACAAGAAGTGCCACATAATTAAGAAAAAATTATAGTTTGCATAATATTAAGTTTGATAAATTTTGTTCATTTGGGTATTATTAAATCTTTGGGTGATAAAGGTCTTTTGATTAATTATTTTGATAAACTTGATTTCCAAATCGTTCTCTAAACTCTCAACACTCTCAACTCTCAGCTCTCTCATAGAGTGTGAGATTTATCAAACACTAACTAATGAGTCCACGTTTATGTAAGAAAATTATGTCTGATTCAGTGAGTGATTCTGTGTTGGTAGAACAACTGGTCAAGAGAAAGAGAGAGATGGTGGGTAATGATAATAATAATATTACCTGAAAGCTCCAAGATTGGAGTATGAGAGAGAACCAAAGTCATTAATCTGAGAGTCCTTGAGCATCACCACAAGAGCCACAATGCACAGTCCCATTGGCAGTAGACGCAGCAATGTCTCTGCCGTGCGCATGGTGGCGCCGCCTGCAATGGCCTCATCTCCGTCGTCCCTTGGTGACTGCATCATCTCCATCGGAGACATTCCTGCACCTACAGAGACTACAGCTGCACCACCTTTATCTCTCTTGTCCGCCATCATTCTTCTAGTCCTCTTTTTTTCTTTCTCGTGTGTGTGTGTGTGTGTGTGTGTGGAATGGACACTTACGGTAAAATACCACAGTGAGAGAGGTGAGGGAGATTGATGAGCTACTTATTAATGAAATTTAGGTGAGGTGGGTGGTGAAGCATTCAATGGCCATCAATGCCGGCCACGCTTTCTTAAGTGCATGGATATCTCTCTCTCTCTCTCACTCACTCTATTATTATGGCTCTCTCGTCTCATCTCAGCTCATGTCTCTGTCACACACAATTTTATTATATGGCTCTCCCATATGAGAAATTCTATAACACATCTCAAAAATACTCTATGATCAGGCACCTTTTTTTTTTTCTTTTTTTTTTTTTTGTGATATTTGATTATGACATTTATTATAGTGTTTGTTATAAGAATAAAATTATGAAAAATGGTTGAGAGCACTAAAAGTGGTGCTCTAATAGCACCATTAATGATGTGTCTTGTTTTTTGTTTTTTGTTTTTGGCATTCCCAATACATTAGTACTATTAGTGGTCTTTTTTTTAGTGGTATGAATCATTGTTGTAAAATTATATATATGTATTAATTGATATATCAATTAGTGTATTAACGTATGATGTGTCATAATTTTAGAGATTTTAGATTTTTATAATTTGTATAATGCTTGAGTTCATTGTTTTGAAGTGACAATATTATAATATATGTTGATATACTAATTGATATACCAATTGATACATGTAGCACCACTCTTATTATAATTTAGTTTCAATCCATTATGTTTGTTATTTTAATTATGATGGAATAAATCTTTTATTATGTCGTAAATGATGTTTCATTATAATACATTGAGATTTCTTTGATTATGTTTGAAAGTAACTTAATTATAGTATAAGGTGGTATTAAAATTACAAAATTACATAAATTACATATAGGGGTGCTTTGGTAAGTAAATAAAAAGTCAACTTTTAACTTTTTACTCATTTTGAATTATATCATCTTTCATATTTTTTACTCATAAAAAAACAAAATAGACTAAAACGTCAAAAAAAACTAACTTTTTACTAACTTTCCAAAATACTATATAATGGTACACCTCAAAAATGGAGGTGTGTATTGTAGAAGCTACCCTTCTCATCTTGGGTTGAGTTTTGTTTATGGTATTCTATTCTCAAATATCTCCACAGCCACCTAGCCCCCTTCCATCCCATCTGTTACATAGTGTCTGTCACATTTCCTTCCCTATTTGTTCCATCCATGCTGTCTCGTTCCCTTTACTTGCTCTCAAACCCTAACCTACTAAACCCTACTCTAACCACCACCAGCTCCATTCGCAAGAGAGAAAGAGAGTCATAAACAGAAATGGGAAGGTGGGAAGGGGCGGTGGGGTGGTGGCGACTGGACATGGAGAGGGGCTAGAGTGTCGTGGGAAATGAGTTGTGGTTGTTGCCGGAGGTGGTGGTAGCCACAAGAAGAGGAGAAGATGGTGGCCGATAGTTAGCATAGAGAGGGTTCAGAGAAATGAATTTCAAGATTGTCTTTTATGGTATTTGACTTAAGGGTGTAATGGTATTTAAAATATCAAATTTGGGATATCCAACAATATTTTTGGATATATTTAGAGTTTTTCTTTGTCTAATTGAAAATTTTACAACAAAAATGATGTGCTAGTAATATTTATAAAATTATAAAAGTGATGATAAGTTTTTTTTATTATAAATAAATATAAAATGTCATGTCATTTTGTATACAACTGTTATTTTAAATTTCTTTTAAAATTGCTGTCTCTATTATGAAAAAGGGCTTAACCTATAGGGTGTTTTGAAAAGCAAATAAAAAGTTAATTCTAATTTTTTACTTATTTTGAATCACATTATATCTTATATTTTTTATTCATAAAAAAATAAAATAAACTAAAAAAAATTAAAAAATTAATTTTTTATTAACTTTTCAAAACTCTGGCATATTTTGAAAAGTAAATTAAAAATTAATTTTTAACCCACTTCTCTCTCTCATAAAAAAATCAAAAAATAATTTATAACCTTCTCCTTAAAACATCCCACTATATCATAGAATCTAAATATAAATTTGGTGTAGCTGGTTGTACCTTTGCAACTTTGATTAGGATGTGTGAAATTATGATTCGACGAGGACGCAACGCAATCTCTGATGAATGGGTGGGACTTGCACCAAAAGGAAGAACCTCATCTGTCTCTATTTGATTACAACCTGACAGAAGTTAGGTCAGTTGTCATGTTCATTGGCAAAAATAATCATTTATCTCAAATTTGTTGTTTTTCTATTTTTACAATTGCTAAATTATGTTTCGAATTTTTTATTATTATTTAAAAAGTCAAGTTTTTTCTTATATGATTTAATAATAATGAATATTTAAAAATAAAAAGCCAAGCATCAGATGACTCCTAATTTTTTTTTCTAGAGTCATGGTATGGGACATATTTTTAAAATAATATATATCATATACAAGTTATAATATTTGAAAGATTAATTATTATAAATATTATAATTTAATTACTTTAGTCCTAACTAAAAAAAATAAAAACATTTTAAATTATAATTAAAATAATATAACAACATTAGAACATACCATTCATAACCAAATAATGGAAGTGTTTGTTTACGTTTTTTTGAACCAGCTAATAGTTTCTAACTTTAGAAAAGCTATTTTGGATTATTTGGTTAAACTTATTTCAAACAGTTTCTAATTCAAACAACTTATTTTAACTCAAAAAAACTGATTCTGAGAAGATACTTCCCCCTTCCTTCTGATTATCAGTCTCTGCCGTGAACATGTTAATTTATAGTTATACTCTTAAATTTTTTTATTTTTTATTTTTTAAAAATAGAAAAAGACCCAAATGGACTATAAATTATTATTATTATTTTTTATGAAAAATGTAGACAAGTAGTAAATAATAAAAAATAAAGGTTAATTGAAAAAGTTACTTCACAGTTTATTTAACAAATACTACTCAACAACTTACTCAACAACTTAAATCTATAATTTAATAGTTACACCAAACAAAATGACAGCTTTTGATTAAATTCATAATTTATAATCTTTTAAGCTGTAATCTATAATTTGTTTTAACAGATATACCAAATGAGGCCAATAACTAGACCATAACGTGTTTACAATTGTTTCTTCTTCTACTTTCAGAACTCGGTTTGGAATGTGAGTTGGTTTTTTGGCTTTTAGTCTTTTTGGCTATTTTAGCGTGGGGCTAAAAAGTCTCGTTTGGGCTATGTTTTTTGGCTTTTTTTGACTTTTGTGAGAGAAAAAATAAAATGATTATGAATTAGATGTGATGTTTTATCTTAGTGGACTAAAAAGCCTATTTTGTCTTTTTTTAAGCCAAAATAGCTAAAAAAACCAAAAAGCCAAATGAAGGCTCAGTCAGTCCTATGTGATTCCAATCAATGGCCATTTCTGATCAGAGAAGAAGCTGGTTTAAAGCTAATAATTTCAACTAAAGAAAAATATTTGGTAGTTATGCAGTACATGACCCAATCACTGAGTAATGATGGCTTCGTCTATCTCAGCCATTTTGAACCATTTTGGGAGGGAAAAGCAAAAGGGCAAAAGCCTCATTCACCATAGATTGAATTGACCTTGACTAATAAGGCAGAAGACAATGAAAACCATCTGAAGATAATTTGTTTGTAGAACTTTTTAAACCATTAGATTGAATTGACCTTGACTAATTAACGTGACTTGTGGGGCAAAATTCAAAAAAGTGTTGTGTTTTGTTTTGTTATAGATAATAAGTCTAGAATGGTCACTTAAACCAATGGAATAGATCTCGAATTATGCGATCATTGATATATAGATATATACATGTTAGGTTTTTATTCTTGGCAATCCTATTTGACAAAACTCCTTTCAGTTGTACTTGTTTTCGTACTTTTATTTCAATAAGACTATGAGTTTGTTAGATGCGAATCCAACTCGAATTGTGCCATGCAGACAAGTTTGTGATGTTAATTCTTTTAAGACTTTCACTTCGCTGATTATGACGGGGATCGAGCTGCCCGGTCAGCTCGCGGGGGTCGAGGGGGCAGCGCCACGGCGGGGTCGAGGGGCAGCGCCCCCGAAGCAATATGCAAAAATGCATTCAAAGTTGCCTGTCTGTAATAACCCCGACCTCAAATTAACGTTAATTCGTGCTTAGTTAAGCCTAGCAATAATTTATGAAGGATTTGGAACTAAATTGCATGTGATTGCATGATTTTGTGTTTCTATCTGTTCGGTGTAGAAATATCTGTTCATGTTTTAGTTTCGATTAGTGAATTGAAAGCCTTATCGACATTCGAACTAGAAATTGACTTGATTTATGTGCTTATTAGAATTTATAGACTTTTATGGTAGGGTTAATTAAAATTCGATTCGAAACGATTAAATTCGATTAAAATAATGTTATTTGGTTACTTTTGACCAATTACCACTTAATAGGCCATTTAAGCCCCATTCACCTTCTATTATTCATTTCTTTGATCACTCTTGAACTTTGAGAGGGAGAGACAAACGACTGAGAGAGTGAGAGAAGGGAAATTGGTGCAGGGCTTGAAGATTTAATTCACAAGGGGAGGATTTGCCAGGAAAACTTGGAGATCATCACTAGCATAAGGAATTGAGGTCCTTAGGTAAGAATGTTAATCTCTAGTTTGGAAATTTAGTTGATGAGATCATGAATTAATGGTGTTAGGTGGGCTAGCATGTGTTTTGGACTTAAAAAGGGGAATTAAGAATGAATTCATGCATGCATGCATGCATGTTCCATAGCATTTTGGAGTTTGATTTTCAAGAATCCTTGCATGCATGTCATAATCCAAGCTTTGTTTAGAAATTCTTCATGTTCCATGTCATAATATCATGGTTGATCATGTTTTTGGGATTAACATTTGTGTTTAGTCATGTTTTGGAAGATTTGAATTCAAGGAATTGTATACTAGTCATGTACATGAGTTAGTGTTAAGTTTCATGTTGGAATTGTGCATGATTGATTTACTCTTGGGCCATGATTTCTTGAAATGAAGCTTTACACTTGTTGTTTTATGTTTTATGAGTTACGAAGGGTTTTTCAAAGTTTTGGCCCAGAAAAAGATGAGTTTTGGAAGGTTGATTGTC